AGGCCAAGATTATTTAAGCTGGAATGATATCCAGAACTGCATTGACATGGTTAATATGCAAATTCAAGAAGAAAATGAAAGTAAGTAATTCTTCCTCCACATTGCCTGCAGAGGTCAAAGTCAGGTCTTTGGTATGTAAATTTATGAACTGAGTGGCCTCCTTCAGACACTCCTGAAAAGAGAAGAGCATTTAAAATTTTTGAAAGCCTGATGATCTTTGACTGTCCTTGAAATATTCCTGTTTGTTTCAGACAACTGAAGGATATCACAGGGTGCCTGCCTTCTGCAATGTTAAAAATGCTGTGGTTCTGCCTGCTTGGCAGTATCTTCCAGCCCTGGATGGTCTCACTTTGGGGATTTTGCAGTTGTGAGCAAAGAGCATATTGGGAGATAGGGGAGGAAATTACAAGCAGTGTTCCATTGAAAAGTGTATTTTAATGTGTAAATGATTCCAAGTGATTGTTTTTCACAAAGGAGTCAGTAAGCAGTTAGACAATGCAAATATCTGTCTTGCTCTCCTTTTGGGTAACTTGATTTCCTGTCAGACAAGTAGCTTCTTATGCCCATGTGTTCTCAAGTGAATGGATTTAGAGTTTATTTTTGAAGTTGAAGGTAACTGTTTTGCCATAAGAGGGTGGTGTTATATTAAATGTGATAGCTGGTTATTTGGACCTCAAAAAAGCTAAAGCACCAAATTCTTCCACTGTATGTAGAAATTTGAGGCTATCAAGTTATGCCAAATTTGCTGGAGCAGGAAGAGGCAGCTTTCAGACTGCCTGCCATTTTGGAAGCAGTCTCAGTGCACTTTGAAAGCCTTTGTAAGACACAGGCTGCTCCTGCCCTTCCTGGACTGCCATTAGTGTCCTGCATGCTGCTGTTTCATACTGGTAAGGGAAATTTTATATTGCAGAATTTCTAAAACTGGCTGGATTATTGCTTCCTAAATCTAGTCCAGTGGTTGCCATGGATCCTCACAGCTTGTTTGCCCTGTGTCCTCCAACAAGGTGGGATGCTGAGCAGTTTGACTGGCAGAGTCACTTTTTTGTCTGAACCTCTGCACTTGTTAGGAGTTGGAACAGACCTTGCAGTAGCAGTGAAAGTCTTCAGTACCAAAATAGCTGCTCTTGCTCTCCGTGACACTGACCTCTGCCTGGGAATGTTTAGAGAGGGTAGATGGGCAGAGAGAAGAAGAAGAAGAAGGGAGCCTCTGTTTCTTTAAGCAAGTCCCATATCTGCATAGTCCCTCTTTTGGACCACCTTGGAAAAATTGCTCGTTCCCCAAGCCTCATGATGACCTGGATCTGTGACCTCACCAGGTGGGTCTGGTGGGTCTAGAGACACTTGTTGAGGGACGATCTCCTGGGAGCAGGGATGTCATCCCTCACAGGTGATGGTGAAACCCTTGACTGATGCCTTTCTGTGATTCCCTTTAGGGAATACAAGCAGTGCATTTCAGTACTGTTTAGGGGCAGGAGGAAATGGATTTGACATTGTTGGGCCCAGTCTGAAGAAAATGAGTTAAGGTTTTATTAAATACATTTGGCCTTACTTCCTGACTGAAGTGCTGAGTGCCACTGGCCAGCATTGTTAGGTTGGTTATTTCCGGAGAAATTACAAGAAATGAGGTTAAGTTGCTATGTAATGCTGTAGCTGGGAGTGCAGTTTATATGTATTTGTCCAAATCAGGGTTTCAACTAATGTGATCTGAAATCACTTGGAAATAAAAGTTTCATCACTGTGAGCCAATATGTTAAACATATAAATATGTGGCACCCAATTTTTTCTTAAGCTTCATGTAGGTGCTTCTTCCCAGAAAATAGAAATATCTGTTTTCCCTTTTTTGCCAAGGATAATTTTGATTTTTAGGAAGAGTTTTATCCAAATATATCAATCACTGTGATAGGAAGGAAAGTTGTATAGCTTCAAATGAATATAAGAACAAAAATAATTTAAAATCAGCTGCTGTTGCTGCCTCTGCTTCTTGTTTCGTGATTTTTCTGTTCTTCGTGTTACTGCTTTGTTTGTATGTGATATCCAAAAAGTTGCAACTTTCTTTGATTTTGTATGTGATATCCAAAAAGTTGCAACTTTCTTTGATAAGTGCATCTTTAATAACGTTTCTATTTCACAGGAATCATTGCAATTGGACACATTAATGAAGCAGTTGACCAAGGAAATCCTGAGAAAACTCTAGAAGCCCTGCTGTTGCCCACAGCCAAACTGCAAGATGTGAGACCAGTAAATGCAAGGCATTATCAGGATGTTCTGCACCATGCCAAAGCACAAAAATGCAAGGTTAGAATTTTTACTGTTCTCTGTGAAAAGTGAAATGCCAATTCATTTCACTTGCTTCTGTGTCCCTGTCCTGGTCCCCTGATGTTTGCATTGTCTTTGCCCAGTGAGGTTGTAAATAAGTGAGTGACAACAAACTGGCACTAAGTAATTTTGCACTATAACTTATTCTAACTGGCAAAATGGATTAATTCTCAATATATTAAAATTAAGACATTTTATGCATATGTCTTGCTACTGTTGTAATCTCATTTATTTTAATTCTACTAGGTTGCTGCAGCTATTACAAAATACAGGCAGCAGCAATTCTCAGTTAGGAATTTGTATAAGGATACAGTTACAAGACTGTGTCAGGCAGTATGGATGGAAAGTGAGGTTTTTGCCAGAAAGAAGTCACAACTGTGGTGTTATTTAACAAATCTTTGGGAAGTATTTTGAGGAGTCTCCTTTGTTTATGTTGTTTTATTATAGTGGAATTTTGTACATATTTCTTTTTCAGCTTTATCATGCAATAACAAGCTGATGGTCTTGCACATGCCTTCAGTTTAAACTTATTTCAGCTGGATGTTGCTATCTGCTTCCCCAAAAGCAGTGGCCTGGTTAGCATTACAGCTCAGGGAAGCATAAACAAAGATCAGCCTAGCAGCTTGCAGGATGTGACTGAAGGTTAGCTAAAGCTACTAGCACAGTACTTAAAATGCCCAGTGTCTGGAAAACACAATCAAAATTCACACAGTGTGTCCCTGAGGTAACATGGTAAGCTGGGGAAAGTCTACAAACTTTGGCTTGTAACGTGTCTTCCAGCATTTGTGTCACCTCAGCTGGGGTACCTGCTGTGAAACCATGCTGTCAGAGCTTTTGAAAGGTGTTTGCACAAATCAATTTCTCACCAGGGTTCCCAGGTAAGGGCTGGTTTCACTGAGCCCTCAGTGCTGAAAAGCCTTCTCTCTCAGCATGTGTGCTGGGGAGGGTTTCGTGCATTCTGACCTCACCTGTCCTGGATGGGCTGGGGTCAGTGTTTGTGCACAGAGAGGGTGCTGGCTGCACAGTGCTGACCCAAAATATGCCATGTGTATGCACAGGGAGCCAGGATGTCCCCAAGGCACAGACCTGCAGCCCACAGGACACAGCAGTCCTACCCTGGCTCGCTCCTGCCAGCTGCCCCAGTGCTCCCCAGATGCAAACCTGATGCCTACTCCTGTCCTGGTGTGAATGTGCTCATAGGAAACAAATGAGTGTTTCCATATTTTGGAACAAAAATTGTACAATCTCTTTGAAGTCTTCTCATAATAAGATTTTTGATGTTCCTAGAGACTTCTACTGGCCTTTCTCTTCTGAGCTATTTTGGTTTTGCAATCTTTTGGCAAGTACTTAGAGCACCTTCTCTGTGAACAGGAGTGCTGCTCCTGTTTCAGAAGAGAACAAGGCACAGTGCTCCCAAAAGAAACACTTAGATGCATACTTACTCTTAACAAAGATCAATCATAGATATGGCCATTCTTTAGGTAAAAATATGATTTAGACTGACATTTCCTTAAAAAAAAATCCAAACACAATTGTAAAGGGAGTGCAATTTCTGAAGTCTGTCGATTTTCCACTTTTTCTGATCCCCTGTTTATAAAGCAGATCTCTCAGAATTTGTGTTTAGCATGTTTTAAGAGTGAGCTGTGGTAAAAGGAAGTATTTGATTTACAAGGATCAGATAGGTCTCCCTATAAACTTCCTGCCCCAACATCTGGAAAAACATATGTGTCAAACCTACTCACTTATTCTAAGCAGCTTGCTGTCACTTCCCCATAGCTGTGGTGATTTTTGACACTGTCTCCCACAGCACACTCCTGGACAAGCTGGCAGCCCATGGCTTGGACAGGAGCACTCTGTGCTGGGTTAGGAACTGGCTGGATGGCCGGGCCCAGAGGGTGGTGGTGAATGGTGCCACATCCAGCTGGGGCCAGTCAGCAGTGGTGTCCCTCAGGGGTCTGTGCTGGGGCCAGTCCTCTTCAATATCTTTATTGATGACATGGATGAGGGTTTAGAGTCTTTCATTAGCAAATTTGCAGATGACACTAAGCTGGGAGCATGTGTCAATCTGTTAGAGGGACGGAGGGCTTTGCAGAGGGACTTGGAACAGTTGGATGGATGGGCAGAATCTAATGGGATGAAGTTCAATAAGTCCAAGTGCCGAGTCCTGCACTTTGGCCACAATAACCCCCTGCAGCATTACAGGCTGGGGACGGTGTGGCTGGAGAGTGCTCAGGAGGAAAGGGACCTGGGCGTGCTGGTTGACAGTCAGCTGAACATGAGCCAGCAGTGTGCCCAGGTGGCCAAGGAGGCCAAAGGCATCCTGGCCTGTGTCAGGAACAGTGTGGCCAGCAGGAGCAGGGAGGTCATTCATACTCAGCACTGGTGAGGCCACACCTTGAGTGCTGTGTCCAGTTCTGGCCCCTCAGTTTAGGAGGGACGTTGAGATGCTTGAGCGTGTCCAAAGGAGAGCAACGAGGCTGGAGAGGGGCTGGGAACACAAACCCTGTGAGGAACGACTGAGGGAGCTGGGGGTGTTTAGCCTGGAGAAAAGGAGACTCAGAGGTGACCTTATCACTCTCTTCAGCTTCCTGAAGGGTGACTGTGGTGAACTGGGGGTTGGTCTCTTTCTCCGGGCAACAACCGACAGAACAAGAGGACACAGTCTCAAGCTGCACCAAGGGAGATACAGGCTAGAATTAAGGAGGAAGTTTTTCACAGAAAGAGTGGTCAAATACTGGAATCATCTACCCAGGGAGGTGGTGGAGTCACCATCCCTCAATGTGTTTAAAAAAAGACTGGATGTAGCACTTGGTGCCATGATCTAGTTGAGGTGTTAGAACATGGGTTGGACTCAATGATCTTAAAGGTCTCTTCCAACCTAGAAATTCTGTGATTCTGTGATTTGGAGGAGTCTGCACCCAAATCTGCCAGAACGCATTATCCTTATAATCTGAGGTCCTCATCTCAGATCTGACCTATTTGTTCCTTGCTTGAAACTGAAAACACAAACCTGGAACTCATTTGCCCTGTAAATCTTAAACCACAGCTTTTAACAGTTTTGAAAGCCTTTTCAAGGCAAATGTATTCAGGTCCCAGTGGAGAGAAATCCTGTCTTAAGGGAGCATATTGTGGATAGCTGGAAAGTTAAACAGATGGACCAAATTACTATTTTTGGTTGTAGCATTTTTTTGTGTGATAGGTACAGAGGTTTTAGTTGGGTTCACCTCATTTATATTTTCAACAGTTGTGTAATATTTGAATTATTTTAGAGTTATCTTTAAAGTTTGTTCTTGTGCATGTTGAAGGAATGGCAGGATTAAAATTAACTTAATTTAAGAACCAGAAGAGATAGAAAAAGGGGACCGTCACCAGGCTGCAAATTCCCTTGAGGCATTTTCTAGTGCAACTCAGTTTATTTAAGTAAAGTTTTTTTACAATACTATTATCAAAACTACATAAAACATTTTTATCCTCACTTACATGCTGCAGTTACAAATTCAAATGACATCACTGAGGGAATTTTTTAGGAACTTAGTATATAAGTAGGTTTTGAGTTTCTGTAAAGGTAAAAATTGACCCATTGTTTTACTAATAGTCAACAGTAACTAGCTGCAGTATTTGTAACACTGTAGGTATTTCCTGTGAGGATGTGGAAATAGAGAATACTACAAAATAGCTTCTCTGTTTTGCTTACCAAGCAAGAGTAATATATGCCTGGATTCACACTGATAAGGGTTAGCTCCCAGCAATCCCTGTGGGTTAGGGAAGTGCAGGTGCTGACGAAGTGGAAGAACAAGTCTCCAGTGCAGAGCTGGTTAAGCAGCCTCATGGGAGAGGTAGCCTTGGAAGAGTCAGGTTCTGCATCCACTGCTGTAGACTTATTGTTTTGTGAACCTATGGGGATTCTGTATTTCCAACATCCTGGGCAGTACTTGCTCTTGATTGCTCCCTGGCATGTACCAAGTGCTTGTTCCCATTTTCACCAGGCCAAAAACTTGTTTTTGTAACACTGTTCCTGCAGTGATTGTTGGCTGAGAGCTAATTTCAAGTGTCATGAATTGCCCTAGAAGTGCTCATTGGGTGCTGACTCCTCTTCTGGTATTTAGAAGCTGGGGTGCCTGATACTCTGGCAGCTTCTCCATGGCCAGAAAGTGATCTCAGAAGGAAATGGAGGTGCAGAGCTGCTTCCCTGAATCTAGGTACCACAGTTGTTGCAACACATGTAATAAAGTTATAGAGCTGGAGAGTGTATTTTTGGAGATATTCCTTGTGTGGAAGGAAGTAAATTTAACTGAGATTGTGTTTTCTAACCCATTTTACTTGAAGTATAAATGTCACACCTGAGATTTGTTGCTGTCAGTGTTAGTACTGTACAAAACCATAATTCCAGTTATAGAAATAAATTCATTTTTCCCTGGATATTTTAACCATTGTCAGATAAATATTGGATTGACTTCTAATTTTTGACATCAGAAAATAAAGGAAAGGATCAAGACAGCTGTTTAGGCTGCTAAGACATAAAGCAATTAGATAAAAAGAATACAGCCTGTCCGTGTTGTAATAGTAATAGTTGATGTGATGAATAATAAGGATAATATTGCTTGGCACAAAGCAAATAGCAAAGATGGTAAGAATCAAAAGACTGACTTTGACATACCAGAACCATTCGTGAGTCTTGAGTGTTCGTATAATCGAGACATAGCAGAACACGATAGTTGCAAGCGGTATTAAAAACCCAAATACAGCCAAGGACCCGTAGTAGTAGAACTGGAAGGAAGACACAGTTTCACAGGCGCTGTGCACGTCGTGGCAGGTATAAATGTCCAGCTGCTTCACATAATAGCTTTGCTGCGTGATGGCGAGCGGGAGCATGTAGAGGAAGACGATGGCCCAGACGGCGGCGCAGGCTGCGATGGCGTAGGCGCGCTTCGGGAGGCTCTTGTAGGTGAAGGGGTGGACGATGGCCAGGTAGCGGCTGACACTGATGCACGTGAGCAGCAGAATGGAGCAGTACATGTTGCCGTAAAACACCGCCATGGCCGCCCGACACATGGTCTCCCCAAATACCCAGTTGTTCCCGTTGATGTGGTAGGCTATTTTGAAGGGCAGTATGATGCAGAAGAGCAGGTCTGAAACAGCCAGGTTTGTGTAGAGGACGGCGGTGCACACGGAGCGGATCCTGAAGAGTAGCATCCACAGAATGATGGCGTTAGAAGGCACGCCCAATAACAGAGCACTGAGGTAGACAGCAGGTATTAGCTTGGTGCTCAGAGAGCTAGTGAGGTACTCCAGTGTGGTGTTGCTCACTTCTGTTAATGTGGAGTCATTTGACTTTTTTGAACTGCATTTGTTTTCTCTGATATGGATGGTTGCTGTTTCCCCTTCTATAGCATAAGGGGGGATGTAATCATAGTCTCTCGCTGAAATTCCCCGAAAAGTTTTGATAAGAGACACTGTTTTAATTGCAGAGCCATTCTGTGAAAATTCTGAAGCTTAAAAATAAAACAAAGTGAAAATTGTTAAAAAGGACAAACTACTGTATTAACCATGTAACTCAGGAGCAGAGAAAGATAACCATCTCTACATGAAAAGCAATATAAGTTTAAAATATTTGGAGATATTCTCCTCTGCTTTTGGTGCTCAAGTGTACAGATATCAGTCTTCATTTATCATTTCACACCAAATCTTGAAAATTCATCATTAATGTAGTGTTAGCTGATCTTTCTGCATTTTGAGTGTTTTCAGTAATCTTTGGTGAAAAACATAAGAAACTTCTGTAATTCTTATGACCAGTGGAGGGTATTTCCCAGTAGCAGGAATGTTGGTCATTCATCATATGAGCAGTCTTTGTTTAGGCTTGATCAAACACCATTACTATCCTTGTCACTTCATGTATGAAATGAATGACTGCAAAAGTTGCAAAAAGCACTCTCTAGCCTAAGACAAACTGAAACTTTCAAATTAGAAAACTGAAATTATCCTTGGTTTTTTTGGTCTCACATGTGAAATTGTTTTTCTTCAGCTTCTGACTAGTGCAAACCAGATCTTCTCAGGTTCTCATACCTGAGCAAGGGCAATGTCCTAAGAATTGAAAACAAATGATTGGGCAGGTATTAGGTGTAATTTACTGGGGAGTGAATAAAACTTTTCAAGCAGCAGGAAAATTATCTCTGAGTAAATATTGTCAGCATGCGGGCAAAACCAATAATACTATTTTATTAACACCTGTTCCTCAGTCTTTAGCTGACAAATTTGTAGGGACATTGACATCTTCACATGAAGCACAAATGTGATCAAAATGCTTTTTAAAGCCATGTGTTGTAAAATAGATTTTGCGCAGTAAACAACTGTGTAATTATTTGTGTCACTTAAGTTTTCTTAGCTGCATTTAATGCAAGAATACTTATTGTAAAGCCTTCAGCATGCACCATGAAACTGGAATTCAGAAGCAAACTGAAATATGGGTGAAAATCTTTGAACCTTTTTTTACTTTTCCATATTTGAATAAAATAAAGATAATAGTTTTATTAATGTTCACTGTCAGATTTACAGTAGAATGTTTTAAAATAAGAATTAGCAGACTACATAATTTTTAGTAGTTTTTTTTGATGGTTACTCCAGAGAGCTGGTTGTAATCACTCATTAAAAGTCATACATGTGCCTGCATTGTCTGGTGTGTGTGTAGATGGATTGATATAGGTATAAATACATATATATATGTATATTATATATATATGTGTGTGTATATATATATTTATGTATACCAGCTTTTCAAAATGAGCTTGGTTTGAAAACAGTTTTAATTCTAGGAAGGTTTATTATTTGATCATTTCCTTTAGTTATTTTTATCACAATAGTCATCTGAGCATTTCCTTCTAATAACACCATCTGTAAAGTTGCAAAACAAGACACTGCAGGTTTAAAATTATTGTATTGTTACAAAAATACTAGATAAAAGATGTGTCTTCAGTAAGTGCAGAAAGTGCCCTTAAAAAATTCTTTACAGAAAATGACTGGCAGAGGTAAGGTGTCACTGAAGTAAAAGAATAAAAATCTGCTTTAAAGGAGACATCCTGGAACAGTTTTTCGTAATTGGTACATGCATGTACAACTCATTTCATGTTCACAGCTGGTAGAGCAACAGCATTATCAAAAAGTCCATGTTATTGACTAAAAGATGCAATAGATACAGAAAGGAGGACTCACCTGTAGTGCAAAGACTGGAGGTAAAAGAGAGCAGTCCAGTGAAAAACAGTATCTTCATTGTAGTGTGTGAAATCCAGCCAGCTGAACAATGGTGCTGTGCTAGTTCATCTCAAGAGATGTTTTGTGGGGGCTTTTTTCCCCTGTGTAAGGGATTAAGGAATGATTGATCTGTCCTCCAGAAGCATCCTGTAAGCATGAGGTTTATGGTAAGGAACTAATTTGTTCTTTGTCTACTTCAGCAAGAGGGTGTGACGTATCCAAATATGCACACATGACTCAGTTTCAGCCTCAGCCCAACACAGAGATAAAATTGCTTTACAGCAGCATTTTAACTCCTAATTTACCACAAGCCTGAAGCTAATATGGAGGGTTCTACTGACATATGTGCATACAGATATTTGGAGTAAAAACATGTTTTTTGGAAAAATCAGGGGATGTGTTTAGTAAATCCTCAAGGGTCTCATTCAGAGACCAAAATGTCATGTGCCTGAACTCTGTACTCTTCTCCAGAGAAAAGCTGGGCTTGCAGAAGAGTGTGATGAACTCAGTTTAGCAAAAGGCAAAGGTGGAAAGAAGCCACACATACAAAAATGCCTTAGGAAAACTGCCTTCTGCTTTGCCTTTTGCCTCCCTGCCCACTGTTAGCTGTCTGGCTCCTTCAATCCACCTACTTCCTCTCTTCAGACAATTTCCACCCCTCCACAGACTGCAGCCTCTAAAACCTTTCCCCTATTTTCACTCGCAGCTTTGTTGATCCCTTCCTTTTACTCTGACTGGCTTCCCCGCCCCGCCCACCCGCCCCCGTCTTTTTTCCCTTCAATGCCAAATAGCGACAGCTTGTTTCAGCAAGCAAAATTAGCCCAAGCCTTGGTCAAGCGTCCAGGCTAGTTGTGAGGCTCAGCATAAGTTGTACTTGTCTCCGGAGCAGTATTTGTTTCTGTTCTTGTATTTAATGTGTAAAAGCTGGGTACCAGATTAGGAACTCTCAATGCTTTTCTCAAAATTCAGTGGCAGTTTGGGAATTTATTAAACATTCTCTCAAGTGCTAACTCTCATTTGGTAGAAAAATAAGCAGTATGTGTCCACTGTCCTGTGATTGTCTGACACCACTTCATGTTATTTATGTATTCTGCTACCTTGTTTACACATATGATGCAAGCTGAAGAGCATCTCTTCAGTGGTTTTTTACCCTGTTTTCTCTTTGTAGCTTCTGTGGATATCAGATTTATTAGATCTTTGGCCTGAGGTTCAGCGCTTAACCAGGGATACTCATTGCAAAGCTGCTTCTTTGTCCACACTGTTTTAGTTTGAATGTGTTTCTAGCTGGTTTTCTTCCCTGAAATATTTGTGTGTATATTTTCCTAGATCTCTCTTAATTGATACATTCCAGCTTCTCTCATCATTAGTCTGTTATAGGCCTGACACTCCTATTTCCTCTTTAGCATGAATTTCCCACCCACCCTACTGGATTAGATTTTAAATATCACTTTAACCCTGTTTTATCTGCTGAAGTGCTGGTATCACCAGTGAACCTAGGCAGTAGGGCTGGTTAGTGGGGATGTTGATCCCACTCTACTATCCCACTCTACACCTCCTATTTTACATTGGGTTTAATGTCATGCACTTTAGACCTGAAAGAAGAGGAGTACCTATTCTCCTGCTTAGTTATAGAAATGCTTGCATGAGCTAAGTCATCATTACTAAAGCTGAGCTGTCTTTCTATGAGACTATTCACTGCTATTTTCTAATATAACATGTATTTAGATATACACAAGGATCCTTTCCAAATAAGGGATTTTGAAAGAAAGCCAACTTCCTGCAGCCTTCTGCTATTCTCTCGTACTATCACAGTGCTTCCTGGTAATGTGTGATTTTATGTGACTCAGACTACTTTGCCTACATATTGTGGAAATAAAAATGTTTCAATTTTTATTGATCTTTAGTAGAATGAATTCTATGCCAGCAGTATTAGCAAATTCTGTTTTTCTAGACATCAAAACTTTCAGAGATTTGTATCTGAACAGGATTGTTTTCCAGTCAGTAAATAGAATATGAATGTGTTTCATTGATGACTTTAAACAGTCAAATCCTTTTTTGTGTTCTAGAGCTTTGCAAAGCAGAGATTGTATATTGCAGCTGTATCCCAGTATTGAGAGAACTCTTATTATTCAGTTTTTTCAAGGCTTTTTACTGTCCTTTTCCCAGGAATCTCAAGATGAATCAGCACTTCTGTGGCTGGATGAAATACAAAGAGGAATCGATGACAGCAATAACAACATAAAAGAAGCAGCAGCCTGTAAGCATTAACCTGCGTCTCCACTGCTCTTGTTTTTCTTGGTCTTGGGAAAATGAAATTGGTAATTTTTGTTTTCCACTTCAGGGAAGGTGCAAGCCTTTAAATACATGAAAAGAAATTAGTGTGTGTTCTTTGTCATACTAAAACTGAGATGACTTAAAACTACCGGAGTGGTGTTAGTCCTATCCCATCTAAAGTGGTAATCTTTAAGGTGTGGCTAATAATTCAACAGATTTGGTTATACAGGTTTTCATCATGACCAATCTTTCCAATGTCACTGTATCTTCATGTAACTCCTGAAATATATGAATGAGAACAGATATGCTGTTCAGGAGCTTGTTTTGCTATATTTAAAATGAAAGTCTTTATGCATATTTTAAGGGAAAATTTTTATGTTTACAACTTTGCTTATTCATATTTCTTTCTATTGTCTTTTATGGATTGCTGACAAAAAAAAATCAGGAACATATTAACTTTTAAAGCAGTGTACAAGGAATGCTAGCTCTTTTTGAAAAGTATATGCTCTTCCAATCTGTAAGGAAGAGGAAATCTATAGGAAAAATGTTGAGGCTTAATCTGTCAGAATGCTGTGTACCAAATGCACTCAACACCTTTTGTCAAAGCTTTGATTGAATATAATAATTATAGAAAAAAATATTCATGATACATAATAAACTTTGGCAAGCAATGTAGAAGCAAGCGCCGCTGGGTTTATGGGGCAGGTTGGAGAGCATGGTGATGTGCCTGCCTGTTCCAGGCCAGGCCAGCACAGCACAGACAAGGCAGTGGGTGTTGGTCAGCCTTCTGCTTCCCTTGGCTGTGCGTGAGTCAGTGTTGCTTTCTGTTGCACCTTTGGAGCTTGTGAATGCAAGTGCTGGAGTCGGTGCATTCCTGCAGTGCCGTGCTCAGCCATCCCCTGTGCCGTGAGCCCACAGGCACGCCAGGAGTTACTGCTTGGGAAGGGGTGGATGGAAGAGAACGCAGATGGACACCACAAATAGCTATCCCTGCTACAGGAACGTTGCATTTTGTGTTACTATAACTTTAGAAATTATTTAAACAACTAATATCTTCACATAACAAGGCAGATACACTGAAGACAGGTGAAGTATTTTTGTAGGTCACATATCCATAGAAAGCACTGGGCTTGTGTTTTCTGAGACGGGGTCAGATACACACACATTGTCTCAACCAAGCTTTTGTATTGAGGGAGGAGGGAGTGCTGATACCTTCTTTTGTGGAAAAACCTGCTTCCCATGAATGCCACCCAGAGCCATGAGGAAACATGAGCACATAGAAGAGAAGGAAACACGTAGCTTCTAAACAGATTTGAGTTAAACCTAAAGAGCAACTTAAAAATTGCCTCATTAGTGTTCACTGGAGTAAAAGCATTAAGAATATGTATCATAAGCACCCTGCAGAAATTAAGACAGCATAATTCATACAGCAATACCATACAGTGTTACTAATGGTAAATCACTGGTCCATCCACTACCTAGTTGTTGTACTAAAATCTTTTCTTATAATCTGTGTTGGTAGTAAATGCACAGCTTTTCACAATCAACGATGCTCAGTGGAACTGTTTTAACATTTCACTTTTAGGAAAAAAACCCTAATTTTGTGTATTCTGCCCTGTGAGTTGAAAAGAAGCACTGTCAGCACAGGGCATTCATTCTTAAAGAGCTCTTAAGTTTTGCAACTAAAACCTGAGATTTAACCTTTCCCCACGGCATAGAACCTGATACTTCCTATAACCAACACATCCTGTCTCAGGAAGTTTGCATGTTGTGTTCACGTAGTCTAAACATGAAGTTCAGCTTGATCACCGCTTGGAAAGGAACTTTTATTTGATCTATCACTCAGGCACTATTTTTGAAAGGCAAACAACTCCAAAACTTTCACAAGGTAGTCAAAGATGTATTTTTCAGTTTAAAAAGTGGTTTTGAGATTCCTGCAGTAATGGCAATAAAATCAACAGTAAAATAAGAGAAGATACTGGCAGTGGTACTGAAACAGTCTTGATCACTTCCAAACTAACTTTTATGCCTTATATAAATACTAAATGGTACAATACTAAAATTTTAAAAGGCTTTTACAGTCATCCCTGTCAGTAAAGGACTACTTCTACCTTTATTTAGGAAGAAATGTTCAGTAAGTGCTGGTGCACTTCCTAACTTCTTGTGGTGCTTGCTCTGTGTTTTGCATCACCTTGCTTCACTTCTTTAATGAGTTCAACCATTGTACTTCTTATCTAAGTGGAGGACAAAAAGAAATCAGCCAAATATCAGCTATATAGCCTTCAGGAGTAGATTTGAACACTGACTTCAGTCTTGCACAGGAAGAGTCTGTCAAAGCAGGAAGTCTGTGTGTCCTGAGAGAGTCCAAGTTATAGGAAAAAGCTGATCTTTGGCCTTGTTGAGAGTTCAGGCTTATCACACCAGACAACTGTGGCTTTGTATATCACAGCTGTTTAAAAGGGAGGATGGGTGTGGAAAAAAGCCCTTTGCAGTGTTGATCTGGTACTGGCATCCTAACTGCTAGAGAAGCAGACTGGAGCTGACAGTTTTCTGGCAGTTGGGGATGGCTAACCCCCAGTTATCTTATGATTTTTCAGGGTCCAAATGGCCTTTCTCTAGAGCAAGAGCTACAGTATTAATTGCTAGCACTTGAAAGGAATAATTTCTGCTGAGTTGAGTTTTTTTCCCTGATAAATACTTTTCTTACCTTTTCCTTCAAAAATACAAACATCATTAATTAAAGGATGGGGAAAAGCCAGATGGCAGTGAACCTACATAAATGCATCTTAGTTTGTGTTTTCTTTTGTCTTTGTAAAAATATCCTCCAGCACTCTTAACTGCATGATG